TATAATACAATTTGATAGACAATTAAATTGTGCATCTGATTCACGTAAAATATATAGGGCGGTCTTAATTTTTTTACTGCAATTTCACAAAATTGAAAATATTTCAAAACGGTAAGGTTTAAGTGTGATAAATCTTAATTAAATTTACCTTTATTTCAATCGCAGAATCTAAAAATAGAATAATATACAGAGTGTTCCATTTAAAAAAATGCAACTATAATATTTTTACTTATTTGGGACACTCTATATCTTGTAAAATTATTTTTAAATTGTAGCTCTAATAGTCCTTCAACGAACCCAAAACTTACAATTTGTAAAAATCTAATCGTTTAGCTACAATACTCCGTGTCGTATGTGGTGAACAACGCTTTATAAATTATAATACAAAACACAAAAAATACAGAAACATCTTGTTTCTGTATTTTTTTACATTGTGCCTTTACCAATTAATAAAAAAAGAGACATTGATAAATGGATATAGCCCCAAATACGTAGTGTTATTGAAATCGAATAAAATATAACCGGTCAATGTCTTGTTCCCGGGGGAATACGTGGGATATTCGAGGTGCGTGAGCTATCTAATCTCTTGTCCTAACTAATGTTGAAGGGAGTGACATAGTAGGCGTAGTGTCACCCTCAAAGGACCCTATTACCCTCATGTGACACATTAAATTACGTGTCCAATATATAACCAAAAAAGTTTATCAATAGCTCAGAGAATATACCGGGTGCGGCTCGAAAGTGGCTCACCCCTATAACTTTTTTATTTTTTTAGATAAAAAAAAACAGATTTAGTATGTTAGTATATGACACATTTGGTCACTTTCTGTTTCACCGGATATGACTACAACTTTTGATTTTGAAATAGCACCCTCGGTATATTTCTAGTTTATTCGATAGAAAATGACACTCTGAATAGAATGACATATCATATGTCAACTTTTGATATTTTTGCTTAAAAAAATCGTATTTCAAATATCAATCTGGTCTGTGTTAAAAACACTAATTTTTAATCAAGGAGCCTTGGAAAAATAATTTTAATCGTCTAATTTTTTTCGTGTCTTGTCCTGGTTGGTTAAAAGATGCCCAAATCGTATTTTTAATCATATGCGAAAATGTCAAAAGTTGACATATAAAAAAATACCGAGGGTGCTATTTAAAAATCAAAATCAAAGTAGTCATTTCCGGTCCAACAGGTAGTGACCAAAAACAATTGAATACGTCAATTAATCCTAATTTATCTCATATACTAACATATCAAATCTCGTTTTTTAATCCGAAAATATAAAAAAGTTATAGAGATGAGTAACTTTTGAGACGCACCCGGTATAAAGAAACTAATAATTTATTTTAATTTAATGTATATTATAATTTCTAGAGATTTAGTTTTATTTTTTTACAGCAGACATATTTTTTTAGAAACATTCGGTATTAATTCTGTAGTACTAAAGCAAAACCCGATATGTTAATATTATTTCCCCATAGACATATCGGGTTTTGCCCTAGTACCACAGAATTGATGTCTATTTTACTTGTTTACATCAAAAATGAAGTTTCTAGAGGCCGTATATTGGCTAACAAATCTTAAAAAATCCAGCAACTTTACGTTAATAATGAAAGTTTCTGGTTAAAGTTTCTCTATATAAGAATATAAAGAAAGTCATAAGTTCTTTCTTGTTTTTAGTGCTAAAATGTTTATAATAATTTAATAAATCTACAGAATGTAGTTTTATGTATTTTACAGCAAATGTATTTTTTTCAGGAATATGATAGATCAAAACAGCTATTGTACTTTTTTACATCAAGAACGAAGAAAGCATATTATGTGGGTTACAAAAATCTCTCGAAAAATGGTAAGTAGCTTATTTTCAATATTAAAAAAAAAACTAAGCCCTCTACTACATAATATAACGTTTATCTCCATTTTAAGCCCGAAGTTCTTTTTTTAGTGGATACTATACTATACTGAGTCATTTTCTACCAAATTCAAAAAAGAAATAATTTTGGGTACCTAAAGTTTTCACAAAAGTTGAAAAAATTTTTTAGGTTACTTTTTCTTGAATTTCATATTTATATCATGATTTATCATCTAAATTACATATCCAGATTTATATCTAACTAAGTTTTGTATTTCTTGTTTCCTTAAAATAGTTTTTTTTTCATTTATTTTTTGTGCTCTTCTATAACCTGACTTCTAAACAACAATAACGCACTCTGCAATAAACAACATTCATGTCAGTGAAGAAAATAAGAGCAAAAAGGAAATACTAACGAAAGGGCAACGAATATTTACTGTAATTGTTCTGTGGATCGCAATAAAGGCGAAAAGAAAAATACAAGCGTTATAAAAGATGGGATAAAGGTGGTTCTTCTTGTTTAAAAATAGAGAAGAGCAAGGTACTTGTTCGTTTTTTCTTAAAATCATACTATATACTAACTATTCCTGAATGTTATAAAAAATCTATTGTAATATTCAGTTCATTTAATTTAATTTTATGAAGGTTTAGTTGTCTAGCATAATTTAAAATGTGTAAATTTTATTTGTTTTTTTCCCCCCTTTTATGTAGATAGCTTTCCATATAATAATGTCTTTAGAGTGTTTGATATCAAAATGATTTTTTTTAAGATTATTGGATATGTCAATGTCAGTAAGTATTTTGCTCGACATTAACAATCCCAGAAACATCAAAATTAAAAATGCTTAAAACTGAAAATATGTGATTTATGTAAAAAATACTGGTTTACAAACCAACAGTGACAAAATTATGATTTTGTATTTTATATTCTTTACTTGGAACTGATTTTCTGTTCCAATAGAATATGTTGCGTATCATATAATTAAAATATTTTAAAATACTAAAATATTTTAAATAATTTTAATTGATATGCTTATGACCTCAACTGACTTTTGTTTACGGAATTTTTTGTAATGTAACAAATAACAAGTGACAACTTGTTATTTCCATCCCTCTGGAAGATTAAAAGAATATAGAAAAAAATATAAGAAATATTACTTTTTCGCTTTTATACAGGATGAGTGTTAAATAAGTGCAAATATTTTTAGAGGTGGACTATTTCGACACCAGGAACACGCCAGTGAGTTGATTTTCGTGTTTTTTTAATTTTGTATTTTTCAAAAAAAAACGGAATTTTTATTTTTTTTTTGAGTTAAAAACGTAATATTTTGATAATATAGCAACATGGGCTGTGTAGATTTAATTTAAAAGAAGAAAAAAATCAGAAAAAATCCAGTAGTTCTCAAAATTTAAGCAAAAAATCATTTATTTTAGTACTAAGTAAAATAACTTCCCTATTTTGGACTTATTAGAAACACGGCAAACTGAAAATATAATAAGACTCACCCTATATAATATTACTCAGCTAAACGTCCCCATAAATCTCTATAAAAAATATATAAAACCCGGTATTAGAACGTTTACTTTCTTAGTAAGATTATATCACATCGCAAACTAGTATACGTTTTCTTGACGTAATGGTGAAGTACGCTGTCGTACCATACTTTTGATTTAGTTTTTTCCTTGTAAACATTTTATTACTGGTGAAGTATTTTATTTTGTTGTGTCTTTTCCTTTTTTATCTTATTTATTCTATGTACTTTTTTTCGTTTTTCTCTTTTTTTATCATGATGCATAAAATTTTTGTTTTTTAAAATACAATTTTTTTTGTACTTTTTAGTTGTCCAGTAGTTATATTTTAGATCTATGTTTAGAGAGATGTTTGTAGACAACAAAAATACAGATTGAGTCGTTAATAAGTGCAAATATATTCAATGCTGGTAGATCTCGATAAAAGAAACATATTTTCTCTTTACCGTTTTTCGAATAAATTCAAAATAAGCGAGTTATTTTACTTCGAGAATTTCCAAAAAAACTGATTTTTTACGAAAATTTTGAGAACCACTGGATCTTTTCTTTATTTTTCTTCTTGTAAATTTAATCCACTACCTACATATGTTGCCCTATTATTAACAAATCATGTTTTTTAACCGAAAACTAAAAAAATCCAATTTTTTTTTTCAAAAAATTCCAAATTTACATTTTTTTTGCGAAAAAACCTGTCGTGTTTCTGGGGTAGAAATATACTCATTAGCGTAACTACAGTGGTGACCGGGGTGGCGCCCCCCCCCCCCTAGGTACTGCTGGGCACCTCCCAGGGAAATCTTGAATTATGGCTCTTGGCTACGTATTAATTTTTATTTGCTTGTGATGTAGTAAAAATTACGTTTTCTAGTTTTGTTTAGTTAAAATTATTTTGTTGTGTTCAAAAAATGTGTTAATTTTTATTTTTTTTAAAAATTCGTAGGTATTTAAGTAATCTACAGGAACACGGTTTGATAACCAAGTCTATAAAATTTATCGATAGAGAAATTCATGTAAAACGTTTTATTCAAAAAATGTGTTTTTTAATATTATTCTTCATTTTTTCACGCTAATGGATATACTACCCCTAAAAATAGTTGCATTTATTTAAGACTCACCCTGTATAATAGATGGACATGCAATTAGATAGAAAAATAGAGAAACTATGAACAATAGAATAAGATAAATTTGTTTATTTACAATGAAGCAACTGCAAAATGGAATTACAGAAACGTTGCATGATAAAAGCTAAAGAAGGATATGTCTCCAAAACTATAGTCCAGAAATTTGAATCTAGATCCTTATAATACACTATTTGTATAAAATGTACTAAAGAAAAACTAATAATAATTAATATTTCTTTACTCAGCTACACAAATTCTACCAAAAAACTTTTAGCATAAACGTTTTATTAGTCTATATATTCTTGACGTGATGGTGAAGTACTTTTAATCGTACTAATTTCTGTTTACTTTCTCAATACGAACAGTTTCATGTTTATTTCTAGCTGGGTGTTTCTAAACAACCTAAGCTACAAACGACAAAAAAAATTGGTTGCAATACATGCAGTTCGCGAAGAAAAAGCTCTATATATACAATGAAACAGCATCAAATACTTACTGGGCTCATTTTGGGGGAAGACGGGCAACAAACAAAAACACAGAAACGTTACAAGATTAAGGTTAATGGTGTGTGGGTCTGTCTCTAAAACTACTCTGGAAATTTGGATACAGGTCCTCTAAAATACTTTACGCGCTATATATGTACAAAAGCTACGGTCGATAAAGGCAAAATACAACAGAATAAGCATCTGTCTCGAATATCCTTGGAAAACAACACGTAGCACTTGGTGCTACCGCGGCAGATACGTATCCCGATTCAGGCTGGCACACGCAGCATCCTGCCGAAGCCGTGACGTAACTGCAAAGGATAATCGATAGCAACGCCATGTGCCGTGTGCGGCGTTCGCGGGAAGCTGGCGAACGAGGAGGGTGAACGCCCTAACCTACCGCTACCATTTGCGGGAGCGCCGGGAGTGGCCGGGAGTGTGTCACCCCCCCTTTCTCTCCTCTAGGACCCTGTGGAGTAAAGGTTTCGGCATACGTCATCGGATGTTGGAGAGACAAATTGCACAGATCGGAATGGAGAGTGGCGATCGTATATATCCACTCTTGAAGTCAATGACTATGATTTTTTGGATGTGGGAGACAATGATTCGGTATTGTTAAAATGGTGAAACACCAGAAAACTTTGAAGTGTTTCTAATGTACAGGGTGGCGCCTTTCATACGTCACGGAAGCTCCAAGGAGAACGGTAGTTTATATCGAAATGAAAACTTGGCAGCGTATATAAGTTAACTGAAAGCATTTTATAAAAATATATAGATATATACACGGTGTCCTTAAAAAATGTTACACATTAAAGTTGTGTTTTTTCTAATGGAACACCCTATATATTAATTGATTTTCGGATTCTAGGAAAAAAATAATGGTCAGTTTTATTAAACACGCATATACCCAAAATCTCAGGATTTTGACATATTTCACATTTTGTGAAAATAAAGATTAAATATTAAATTTCGATAACAGCCACCTAAATTTTAGTTAACCTCGTATAGCCTGATATTTAATTACAGTAGCCATTGTATGTTAAACCAAATTGAAATTTAACCGAAACGTTATACAGGGTGAGACAAAATTAATATGAAATATTAGTCACTTTTAAAAGTAAGTTACTCCCTTATTTTTAAGGGAACACCCAGTATATTATTCCTGTGTTCAATGGGGAATTTATATATCTTCAAAATATTTATAAGGTTGCCGACCCCTCAGACAAAGATTTTCCTAGATATTTTAATTTTTATGATTTGGCGTCAGTAGATATTTATTATTTGAAAAAATCTAGGAAAATTATTTGAATAAACCTTGCAAAAATTAAAGGATATAGAGTAAAATACTCAACGGTAATAAAAAGATACACGTTTAAAACATATTTTAATTATTACAGAATTAAAACTAGATGTAAACCTATTATTATGTGACAAAAATTAGCTAGATGAAATCAAATGCTCAAAATGCTTCTTTTCCTGTTAACTGCATAAAATGATTTCATTTTAAAAGGCATATGTGGAGTTCTACTTCGAAAAGCAGCTATAATAATAAAATTTCTTTCATGTGGTCGACAATAGTTGGTCGAGTTTTCTAAACACTGTCTTTAACATATCCCCATAAAAAAAACCAGACGAGATAAAATCAGGAGCATTTAACTATTCTATTAATTGGTGAATGCACACTACATTAACAGGCGTTAAAATGACTTTTTATATCGCCAATCACGTCGCAAAAATTCATAATTTTGCGACGTTTGAAAAAAAGGCCATTTTATTCTGTGTTTTTGCCATTAAAGGCTTCTAAAATAAATAAATTCTCTTTTTTCATCAATTCATATGCATTTTAATTCAAATTTTTCCATTTTACGCGATTTTTCAAGGGTATTCACATCCACAACCGGACGGATAAATTTTTTTGCCCAAAAATCAACACTTCAGATAAGTGGCTGCAAAATTTTTCCTTTCGTCTGAATCGATATAGTTACTCCAACAAAAAATTAGCTAAGGTCTTTCCTACTGCACGTGAAGAAGAAACTTGAGAACACATTTTTTATCAGTACGATAGTTGCATCCAAGTAAACTCCAAATTAAAATTAAATAACTAATATTAGACTTTTTGAAAAGGATTGGACTGGAAAATATAACCTAGAGATCAGAAGAGCACCACAATAGATCTGTAAATGTCACAGTGGAACAGCTCGATAGCTATGTCAATAATCTAATATATTATCCACACCATCCATAATTAAATACTTACTGAAACATTTTTTTGTTGATCTTCATACCACTGCTATTGCTACTTTTTCTGCTCTACAAGCGATGTTATTAGGCTTTCAATCTGTTGTTTCATTTCAGAGGTACCATCATCAGCTTGGTCTGGATTTTTTATTTAATTTTTAAAAGATAATCTCACAAATATATTAATGTAGCACAACTTAAAAATTATATAATAAAGAATATTCGCATAACAGCCAATATGTTGGAGACAGATGGATATACGTACGAATCATCTCGTTTACATCAACTATTTTAAAAAAAACATTTTTTATGAATTTTACGAGACTTTTTTAAAAATAATATATCGAATATATTAATATGTAGAAGTACTAAAAAAAAATGTTTTCAAAGTAAATGGATTATTGATTTATAAAAGAAAAATATTGCTAAAAAATGACAAAAAACGACTTTTTATTAAAGCTGCTTGTACTGAAGAAAATTGTCTGGTGTATAAACCGTTTCTGGTTAGTCCCTGTCAGGGACAACGATGTAGGGCAGGTTCTTTGAATTTTTCCATTAAAAATTCTTTAGCGCCGGTTAAAGGAAACTTTAATTTTAAGGGACTATGGTGCTTTGGAAGCTTATTTCTTTTTTTTTCCTTTTTTTTTCTGGTCTTACTTTTATATTTTTTATTCCCGACTTAATCTAGTTTAAAATGTCGTTGCCGTTAATAAGAATATTGTAAATTTATTTTATGTAGAACATTAATGCGAGAAATTTTTAACTGATGATTTAGTTGAGCTAGCTTATTTTTTAATAGACAATCTTCCCCAAATTTATTTTTGCACTGAAGTTATTATTTATAGAAGACTTACTTTAATGTATGATTGTTCAATTTATATCATATGTTTTTAGGATATATATATAGGGTGAGTAAAAACTATGCCTTTAATTTTCTTAGCTTCATGAAATAAAAGACTCTATATACACAGTGATCCATGTAAATATACAAGCTACAGGGCTTTGAAAAGATATTCCAATTAAAATTTTCCATTTTCATTGCAGTGTGCACAGTTTAATTTATCTCTGTAGTGATCATTCTTATATGGAATATCATGTATTGTATATATCTTATATAGAATATCATGCCACCCTCGTTCCAGTTGAAAAAATTGAGATATGATTAAAAACACGATTTAGGACACTAAAACATTGAACGATCAAATCTATTTTTCCAAGGCTCCTTGATTAAAAATTAGTGTTTTTAACACAGCCATGGCACTCGAGATTGAAATTTAAAATACGTTTTTTTTTCTAAGCGAAAATGTCAAAATTTGACATATGATATGTCATTCTATTCAGTGTCATTTTCTATCGAATAAAGTAAAAAAATACCGAGAGTGCCATTTAAAAATCAAAAGTTGTAGTCATTTCCGGTGAAACAGGAAGTGACCGAAAATAATTGGATACGTCAATCAATCCTGATTTATGTCTTATACTAACATACCAAATTTCGTTGTTTCATCTTATGAAATAAAAAAGTTATAGGGGTGATGCACTCGGTATATTTGCAGAAAATTTGTTACATATTGAATTTCATTATTTTGCAATAAAATGCCATGAGAAATATTTTTATCAGTTCTAAATTCCTCCTACTGGGTAAAAAAGATTTTAAAAAAGTAAGAATTTCTACATTAAAATGAAAAACAAAACGTTTTAAGTTAAAGTGTCTGTTGTAGTGGCATATTTCTAAAACAGCAAACTTCAAGGAATACTTATGAAAATAAATATGTCCCTAGCAGCTTTAGTGTTTTCTCATTATACAGCTTCAAAGTCTACACAAGAATTAAGTCCTGTGTGTCTCTGACAGCAGCAAACTAAAGCAAAACTAAATCTGTGGTTAGCTCAGTTTAGCTAAATGTCAAATTTATAAATGGTGAAATAAATTTTCACCGAAATTTCCTATTACTTTTAGTCGAAACAAACCAAGAGTTTCTTAAAGATATTTTCTGAAATGGTAATCAAAACATAACGCTTTAAAGAATTTTAATTTTCTGCAAAACTATGTATAAACAATTTATTTCCTCGTCAATATACTTATTCTTTTCACATCAAACTATTAAGTGGTTCGTGTAATGTTTTTACTCTATGATACAGTACCCTGGAAATTTTTATCATAGGAAAACCCATTTACACAGTCTCAGAGAAACAACAGAAATTGTGTTACATTTAATTAACAACTATTAGTTATTTAGAACTACCAAGACAAGTTACCAAAGAAAGGATGTTTTATTTTTATCATTAGGTGCCTATTTTACCTAAATAATTACTACTAAGTACCGTATTGTTTAAACTATTAAAAAAATTAACAACTCTAATTTTCTTGCGCAGGTCTTAACTTATGTAAGGTCGTATATTTTTGTGAAAACTTTTACTGGGAACCATAAGTAAGTGTTTATTATATATTTCAATTTTTTTGTATAAATAGACGGTTCTGTTTGCGAAAACTGTTATTTAGTATTTTTAGTAATTATATGTTGGTTTTGAAATTAATGGGTATTAAGGTGAAAGTAACATGGTTGGAACTGAAAAAATACGAACGAATAATATGCTAAATTTAAAGAGGATGTTTTTACATATTGAACTAAACTTAAATTATTTATGTTTAATACAAAAAATAAATTATGAAAAATTGACAGTTTAGAAATTCTATAGGAATGGCTACAGCACAACTATTATACCGGGTGCATCTCAAAAGTGGCTCACTCTAATAACTTTATTATTTTTTAAAATAAAAAAACGAGATTTGGTATGTTAGTATATGACATAAATTAGGATTGATTGGCGTATTCAATTGTTTTTGGTAACTTCCTGTTTGACCGGAAATGATTACAAGTTTTGATTTTCGGACCTTTAAAAAAAATTAAGTTTTTTTCAGAAACTATTTGAGACAGAGTTTACCAAAAATGTTTTTATAACTACTACTGGGTAAATGAATTTGTAGTATAGTATGACTTTTTTTGAAGCTTTAGTTTCGGAGATATAAATTTAATCGGACCTTTTAAAAAAAATAATTTTTTTCAGAAACTATTTGAGACAGAGTTTACCAAATTTTTTTTTATAACTAGTAATAGGCAAATGAATTTGTAGTATAATATGATTTTTTTTGAAACTTTAGTTTCGGAGATATAAATTTAATCGGACCTTTTAAAATAATTATTTTTTTTTTCAGAAACTATTTAGTTTACCAAAAATGTTTTTTATAACTACTACTGGGTAAATGAATTTGTAGTATAGTATGACTTTTTTTTTGAAACTTTGAACCCTCGGTCTATTTCTACTTTATTCGATAGAAAATGGTACTCTGAATAGAATGACATATCACATGTCAACGTTTGACATCTCGGCATATGGTTTATTTGAAATTTAACATGCGGTTCATAACGACAATTTGACTCGAAATACCAAGTATGTGGTATCAAATTATTCGTAAAAAAAATGCTTTTTCCAAATATACTAATGAGCCACCCTTGTTCCATTTGGAAAAATTGAGATATGATTAAAAATACGATTTTAGCATCTTTTAACGGTCCAGAACAAGGCACGAAAAATATTCCATCTATGAATCTATATCTATCGAATAAAGTAGAAATATACCGAAGGTGCCATTTAAAATTCTAAAGTTGAAGTCATTTCCGGTGAAACAGGAAGTGAGGAAAAACAATAGAATACGTCAGTCAATACTAATTTATGCCATATATTTACATACCAAATCTTGTTTTTTTAACTGAAAAAATAAAAAAGTTATAGAGGTGAGCCACTTTCGAGACGCACCCGGTATATCAATAATTTGTACCTTTCTTTAAAAGAACGAACTAATTAAAAACCAAATCATTTCAATACAATAATTGATAATTGTTAATCAGTAAAGAGTCATATATTTATTATAGAAATAGAGATCTTAAGTCAGTGTGACATAAGTATCATTACCATACCAAATCAGCTATTTAACACTAACTAAGTGTCTATAGCATCTCCTCAACTCAGTCCAGCATTTTTATTTTAATCTGGATTATTTCTATCCATATCGTTGAACTAAGAAATAATTTAGTGCTCTAAATTAATGATATGTTAATTAATAAAATCGCTGTGGGTTTCAAGGGCTTCTGTTCAATAATTACTCCTTCTGGTTCTCGCATTACTTCTTGAGAATTTATTTGTGCCATTAGTCAACCCGATCCTACCATTTATTACTTCTGTGTATGTGCTCGCATGGAACTTTCATTGTTTTGGTCGTAAAGATGCAGACTTTACAACGCAGCTTTTATTGCTTTTCTTAAAGGTTCGCTGGCGACTTTTAGACTATAGTTGTACGGTGTGTCCAAAGAAAATATTTAACAAAACCAATGAGTAAAGAATACAAAGACGAATAACACCTGCAACCAAATTGTTACCATAGCCGCTTGAAGAGATATTTATATTTTAATAAATGTTTTGACTGCGCCTATGGTATTGCGGTGGTATCATACTAATTAATTACGAAAAAAACGTATTAAAATGTTAACAAAAGGAACAAAACTAGTATCGACGTATAGCACCTATCAAGTATATACCACACCTATAACTTTTTTATTTTTTCAGTTAAAAAAACGAGATTTGGTATGTTAGTATATGACATAAATTAAGATTGATTGACGTATTCAATTGTTTTCGGTCACTTCCTGTTTCACCGGAAATAACAACAACTTTTGATTTTTAAATAGCACCCTATAGATATTTTTTTTGCTGTATTCGATAGAAAATAACACTCTGAATAGAATAATGACATATCATATGTCAACTTTTCACATTTTCACATATGGTTTATTTGAAATTATTACTTGCGGTTCGTAACGAAAATTTGACTCGAAATACCAAGTGTGTGGTATCAAATTATTCGTAAAAAATGCTTTTTCCAAACATGCTAATGGGCCACCCTCGTTCCATTTGAAAAAATTGAAATATAATTAAAAATACGATTTGAGCATCTTTTAATCAGCCAGGTTAAGACACTAAAAACATTAGACGATCAAATCTATTTTCCCAAGGCTCCTCGATTAAGAATTAGTGTTTTTAACATAGCCATGGCACTCTAGATTGAAATTTAAGATAGTATTTTTTATTAAGCGAGAATGTCAAAAGTTGACATATGATATATGTCATTCTATTCAGAACATCATTTTCTATCGAATAAAGTAAAAAAATACTGAGGGTGCCATTTAAAAATCAAAAGTTGTAGTCGTTTCCGGTGAAACAGGAAGTGACCAAAAACAATTAAATACGTCAATCAAACCCAATTTATGTCATATACTAACATGCCAAATCTCGTTTTTTATCAGAAAAAAATAAAAAAGTTATAGGGGTGAGCTACTTTTGAGACGCACCCAGTATAATATCAGAGAAATAATTATCCAATTCAATAAAAAAAAAACGATAAACAGGTGGATTACTGCTTATTTACCTATAAAATGTAACTCCTGGCTGTTTCTTATTTTTTTACACTTGAAAGCTGAATAACTAAAAATCGCTAAAATTGTCTCTGATGACCAGCTGATGACTTATTCCTTACAAACAAAAAAAAAATGCCGTTTTTCTACTAAATTAATTTTCTCTATTGCATTGAATAATTTGGTTAAGATTTAAAATATATATTTACAGTCGATATTTTCCTATCTTAGGCCACATGGTATATGACCTTACTTGTAAACAGTAGTTACTTATTTCCTGGTTTTACGAGAATATTTAAAATTCAAATAAGAAATGCAGATTTAGCTTCTGTTGCTACATAACTTTTGAATATGTAAATCATTTGCAACTATTCAAAACCAATCATTCCAATAAAGGTACTCGTATATGTTTAAAATTTACTATATTCACTATATAAATTGTACATCCGAAAAAAAAACGGCGCCCAGTTAGCTTGGAAATGACAATCGATAACATTCCCCATATGACAGTGATCTTGATTTATAAACTTGGTTTATTCTGCAGCTAAAGGCTAAACTATTCGATTTCTAGAATATTACTTCCTATCTCTTTACTGTTATTACTAATAGATACTGTAGATCGCAAAAAAGCGGCGTCTTTTTTAAATAATTTGTTGGAAAATTTCAAATGTCAATTTGTTGGAAATGACATATTGTATTTTCTGTCGAATATTGGACTAAAACTTGGTGTATCAACCTAATATCATGATCCCATTAAGGACGGTTCAGGTTCGGTCTTCTTCTAGGTCTCTTAATTCCACGTAGGTTAGGTTTGGAACTATGCTGTAATTTTTGTGGTCTATTGCCACTTGCCACTTGAGGGATTTGACTTTGTGGATGACATCTAAGCGGACGATTCCGTCCTTATAGCAGACAACGTGGAGGGTCTGCAAACACAAATAAATATCTAGGCAGTTGGTTGACCGAAAACTTGGATCAATCAGCAGAAATAAAAGCTCGAATAGAAATAGCCAGAGCATCCTTTGTAAAACTCAAAAAATGTCTGTGCAGTGGAGACATCAACTTAAAGCTTAGATTAAGAATGCTAAGGGGTTACATATTTGCAACTCTACTCTATGGTTCAGAGGTTTGGACACTTAAGAAGACCGAAATGGAGAAGCTTGAGGCATTCGAAAGATGGTGTTATCGGCGTATGCTGAGGATTGCATGGACTGACAAGGTTACAAATGTAGAACTGCCACGCAGGATTCAGAAGGACGAAGAGGTGATTAACACCCTTTAAAAAAGAAAACTTGAGTACCTTGGACACATAATAAGAGGACCTAATTATGCCCTGCTGCGGAACATAATAGATAAAGAGCAGAAGGAGCCAAGGAAGAAGAAGAACATCATAGCTCAATAATTTGAGAGAATGGTTTGGAATGACTTCAAACCAGTTATTCAGAGCAGCCGTTAACAAAGTTAGAATTGCCATGATGATTTCCAACCTCCATTAGGAGATGGAACCCGAAGAAGAAGAAGGATGACATCTATTACCTGGGTCTTTGTGGTATCCACTCTATTCTTTTACGACCTTTCTTGGTTATTCCCAGCATATTTCGTTCCATTGCTAACTTAATTATTCTGTCGATTTATGGTAGTAGAGATCCCGAGTCTAATTCAATGTCAAAATTACTCATTTTCAAAAATGTTGCTTACATTTTTACACCTTTTTTTTCCCAAAAACTAATCGTAGAGTTTAAGATTTTGCCATAGGACTATAAACACGAAGCAATTAATTTTTCAAGGATATGCTTCACAAGTTAGGTTTTTATTATCCTGATATGTTTTGCCTATCAGAAATTTTGCATCCCCCTGTATAAGACGTCTTACTTATTTTATTACAAATTATATATAAATCACAGATTAATTATAAAGCTTCATTAAGAACCTTGGTTTACCGAGGTTCAATTAGAAGTTTATAGCAATCAGCAATTATTATTAGATTTTTGCAAGAGTGTTGCAGATATATTTTGTTGTAATTGTATTGATTAAAAAGTTTTTTTCAAGTTAAAAGATTTAACATTTAAATTCGTGTTAAAGTAACAGCAATTTAAATTAATTAACATGAAAAAGAGTGCCAGAATTTAAGTAGATTGAAGATTGCTTCTCTGATGCTGCAACTTTGGAACTATTACCATTTAAATGACTGAATTGAAAGTGGACTGTCTATACGCTGTGCGCTTTTGTCGACTCTTCTCTAGACATCCCAATTAAAATTTAGGACGGAAGCAAGGAAATTATGCATCCAAATAACATAGAATTCCAAAAATTCACTCCCTGGGGAACAAAATCTCGGAAAGCTTTGAAATAGTTTATAAATAATAGAAGAAAATGTTTTTATAAACTGTTATGTTTCTAGTTTCTAGGAAAAATTACTTTTATTAGAATTCCTTTGAGATAACATTAGAATTATTTATTTAAATTGTACTGTAGTCAGTTTTTAGAAAAGTAAACAGCATCAAAACCTGGAATTGAAAGGCTACTATAAATGATAAGCTAATTAAATAAAACGACAGTATTATTATGGTAAAACAATATATTATTATAATTTATTATCATAAATTACAGTACAAAATAGTTTTTTTCAATATTTACAAAAATCACTTTCTCAAAAAATTTAATGGTAATAAAATATTACTATACTTTTTAATATGGATATTTATAAAAATATATGACAATTCGTTTCATAAATATTTCATGATTAGTTATAAACCCTATTTATACACAAGCACAACATATAAAAGCATACTTTATAATACTGGATTTGACAAACACAAAAAAATAACTGTTAAAAGTTTGAACAGCAGCATCAATTCAAGATTTTGAGCTAGTAGAGAGGTAAAAGTGTATTTCATGAAGGCTGGATTGTATTTCAGTGTTTTAAGTCATCTAGGTATTAACGTTATCGATATTTTTGAGATAAACAATTAATAATATCTTATCTAAACATGTATGAAGGTACCCAAAGCAAGTAAAACAAAGTTTCTTTAAAAAACATACAAATAATTTTAAGGATTTTTAGTTAAGAACAGTTAGAGCAGCTAAATTACTTAATACCAACGCTTAGGTAAAATTTACAATAACGAAAAAGAATCAATAAAAAATCGTCAATATATAAAATAAAAATATAGTTTTTAAACCAGAGAAAATATTATATTTTTACATGCATATATTTTGTAATTATTTTAATTGACTTACGTTTTGCTTTTTGATTCACTACTTATTTGATTGTTTTGATTCACATTTTGTTTTATTTTTAATTTTGTATTTTAATATAACAAAAACTAAACACGTTTAGCAAAATTATTTGCTACAAAATAAAAAAAAATATGGCCTTAAATTATCGTATGTTTTTTCTTCTTTTAGAAAAATTAACACGTTGTATTCCCATTCTTCTGTCGATTTTTTGAAAAACATACAGCATAGTTTTGGATAGAAAATTAGCACTTCAAGAAATGACACCACCTGGCAAGAAAGAAACACATTTTTCTTAAAAAGAACCCAAAAATCTACTAGCCCAAATACTTGAATCACTTACCATATAAACCTCGATTATTAGTCTTTTGATTATTGTTCATTATTCTCTGGATTTCACTGATGTCCGAACCACTTTCTTGATCTGAAACAATTAGGTTACGCACTACACCTTTTCGCCCTCTTGGTATCGGTGGTAGAGGTCTATTGTACCCATCGTTATTGTTCAACTGGGAAGACTCAATTCTACCGTATATCCCATCCGGAGGATATGAATGAACAATATTCGGACTTCGATGATGCATGTCGTTAGCACTGGCGGTCAGTCTACTGTTACGCACAAACGGTTGTCTGGTTGGTAGTTGCGAGTAGGAACTTCTCGCTGCCATTGGACTACCTGGATTTGGCTGAAGTTGACCCATTATCACTCCAGTTTGAAGTCGAGGGTTATCCACGTCGTGGATTTGACCGTAGATATCACAAACTTTATTATTTACCGATACCTGTCTTTGTACAGGCCTCCCAGGCGTATATTCTGCGATACTCTGTCGCGAAGAATAAACACTTTGAGGCTGGGAAGTTCGTGAATCGGGACTGGAGACATAACCTCCAAACTGTCCGAAAATTTCGTCGTTCAGAATAATTTCTCTGCGTAATTGCGTCGGTTGCTGAGCTCTGTTAAGATACTGGACTTCCTGGCTTGGATTCGGAGTAGATGACACGCCAGGTCGTATCATGTTGTTATTCTGATACGATGTTCTTCTAGGTCCCATTCTGTTCCTGTACATTTCCTCACCCATCTGTATGGAACCATGCCTAACTAATCTAGGTGCTGGAGCTTGGGATGGTATGGCATCTCTAGGTTGTCCATAGAGGACTTCTTCCTGCTGTGGTATTCTTTGACTGTATAAAGGATTTTGATTGTTCTTGCTAACGTAAAGTTGTTCTTGGCTATAAGGTCCCTCAGCTATCTGTCTCTGAGGCATGTATAAAGGATTTTGGTTGCTTTTGCTTATGTAAAAAGGTTCTCCGTTAGGACCTGGGAGGTCCCTCTTAGAGTTATAGTAAAGTGCTTCTTTTATAGGTTCGTTTCGTTGATTTGTTTGATACTGGTATCGATTATCGTTCGGAATGTTCGGCATAAACACGTCATCACTTCCTTGACTTTGGTTACGGTCAATTCTCCTTTGAGGAGGACTTTTTGTGAACCCATTTTTGGTGGGCCAGGACTGCACGTTTTGATCGGTCGAACCAGAAAAACTAACCTTCCTTTTTAACGTGTCATCCATTGTTTGTTGGACCGGTACGTTTAAACTCCCCCTCTTGAAAATTGGCTTGTACAGACTATCAGTGTTGCTTTCTGTTTTTCTGAAATTAGTACCATCTACCGTTCTACGTTCGGGAGTATTTCTGGTAAAATACTTTTGTTGTTCTTGCTGTTGTTGAAACTGTAACTGCTGTATGCTTCTTGGGTGCATTTGGTGAGTCACTGCCCGATTTTCCGGAATTGCATTGGCATAGAGTCTTCCTCCAGGGCCGGGATTCATTGGGCCCTTCACGTCACGAGGTAAGCTTAAACTTCTTCTTCCGTTTCTGTTTGCAGAAGGAGATAAGCTTCTTGATCTTCTAACACTTGCTGGTTCCTCAGCATAACCATAAGGGTACATGTTTCCGTACTGCATCTGGAGCATATAAAGATCGTAATTTTCCTGATCTTTCATTTTCTTAATTTCTTTCCAGTAGTACGCCTCTACGCTTTTCCTCATATCCTCCTTTTGAGGTGTTTTAGGAGACTCGTTTCTTTTCATTCCCAAGGGTGTAGAAGGTCGAATGGAACCGTTAGTGGACCTTACCGGTGACAGCGAAAGATTATGCATTGAATTATTAGGCGTAGGTGTCCGATTTACTGGAGAATTTATATGGACTTGTGCGTTTGTGATAATTTTGTCTGCGCTGCCCACAGGCGATGCTTGGCTTACCCGATACAAGTTTTCTATTGTACTGGGTGATGCTTGACTCAACCTGTAGTTCTCACTGCCCATTCTTCCATTTTCCATAGGCAATTTAAGATGTTGCTGTCTGGATCCCGGTGGAGGTTTGGCACTTAAATTGTCAGTACTAACAATCAGACTATCCTTGCTAATATTATCAATATTATCAGGATAATCAAGGTCAAGATCAAGCCGTCGATGAGTTGGACTAACATTCTTTGATATCTTTTGAACTGGTACCGGCGACCTTCTTGTTTTTAGCAGTTCTGTAGCAATTAGTTTCTCAGTACTGACGTATTCAGATGGAATAGGAGACCTTACCCTCGGTGATAAAGGTACTATTTCTCTGTTAGGTGGTAGTTTTAACTTCGAGGGTTCCAAAGAAGGTGATCGAGGTACTTTTTGTTGGTCTTTAGGTGAAAAACTAGCCCGGCTTGATGATCGTTGTGAAGAATTTTCGAGACTATCAAAAACAGTACCATAAGTTTCATTAAAATTCGGTCTGTTCGGTGCTAAATTCCTTGGGGAGTTCATTGTTTGATACGGACTGCTGTCTGTTTGAGACATTCTAGTCAAACTTTGCTGTGGAGATTCTCCAGGAGACCTGGGATGGACATTTTGGTACGGATTTGGAAGAGCTCTTTCCGAATTTATAGGAATTAAAGCTTTCGGGTTTACCAACCGTACGTCTTGTTTGGTTTCTAGTAATCTAGGAGGTGTGTCTCTTCTGCTATCGTTAATTCTGGTCAGCGAGTTGGCGTGGTTTCGTTCTTCGATGTTGTTTGTATTTGTTTGTTGTCTTTGCTGGTTAGGTTTAAAAGATTCGCTCTGATAAGGATTTGATCTATCCGACTCAGAAGTGCTAGCTGAAGAACTGGTATCGATATATTTTCGAATATCTGGCATATGCATATAACTATTGTTAGGTTGATGGTTTTTGATTATGGGTTTGTCCATGGTAGTATACCTTTCCTTATTTGCGGAGTTTGAAACATGACTAGAAACATTCTCAAAACTTTCTTTAAACTTGTTGAATTGGTCTATGTGTTTTTGGGCGTATTCTCGTTCGAGTTGTTGCTCGACGTATGGATTAGGAACTTTAGCATCACTGTCGCTTCTTTGAAGTTTCACTGTCGAAGGGTTTTGTTTGGTTGAATAGCTATCACCACCGGTTGTGTGTCTATACGGTGACTGCCGGGTAAATGTATGACTCTCGTTTTGAAAGTTTTCACTGTACATTCCGGCATTGTCTTTGTTTTGAGACTTGTTCTTCTCCTCGCTTTTTTTCTTCCTGTCTTTATTGCTAAAGACCGAGAAAATTCTGCGGAAATTGTTCTTCTTTTTCTTCTCCATATTCGGGTCCAGAGTAAAGGCCGACAGTTCTTCCCTGATTTTCGCAATACTCTCTTCAGAATCGGAACGTCTAACTATAGTCACATATTCCTCTTCACTAGAAAGATCCTCTTTTCTATCTGTCAGATGGTTCGAGTTGACATCTTTACGACTCTTGTCTATGTTTAAACTATACCTCGCCGGTTTCTGCTCTTGCTTATTAGGCAATATCACTTGACTTTTCGTGACCTTAGATCTTCGAACTTTTGGAACAGGTTTTGGTTTGTTTGGTTCGAAATTTTCTTTAATTCTCTCCACTGAACTGTCACGGTTCGAAGATGTATTTGTATTTTTGTGAAGTTTCAAATAAGCGCTCTTATTTATTGAGTTCTGGTTGGTATTTGGGTTACGTCGTAAAATCACTAAATCCTCACTGTCAAGTTGATCACTATCCTGTTGAAGTTTGGACTGGGCTTGCTTTAAGTTGGAAAGCAAAGAAAAGATGGTTTTCTCCTGAGTTTTGTATTCAGTAGAGGTGGTGTAGGATGGTGTAGTGGAAGCCTGGTCTACTGCAGCCATGTTGTTGCCTCGCACTTAACTTTGGATTGGTTTCCCCCTGAAAATAAAGAAAATATATAAGTTAAAAGTAAACAAAAGTAATCTAAAAATAAAGCCTTACATAAATTTTGTCGATATATCAAGATAAAAAGTTCGATGTAGAATGTCGTTAAGTATTTCTCGGATATATCCTTTGCGGAACAAATATCTCCATTATCAGTTTTTTATCAGCAAGACATTTTAGCAAAGTAAATATGAGATAAAAATGGATTTGTACGAACTAAGTTCTTGAACATCAATTAATAAGTACACTATTAATTTAAAAGAGCGATAAAAGTAATAAATAAGTATGTTTTATAGGTTTCTAAGTACTATTATTTGGATTAAATTGCCTAATAGTAAATTAAAATAACATTTTTATGTATTAAACATCGTAAAAGTTGTAAATATCGTAATAATGTAGTCACTCTAATAATATAATATAGTATATCGGGTGAACAAAATTATATTTCGAACTAATAAATAAATGAAATTTGGGTACAATATATTACATTTTTTTAAAATTCACACTTTTTGTCGGTTTTGTTTTGACATTTATCTGGTAATTTTGAAATTACGAGAAGAATTTCAACTACGGAAGGTTTGTAAAATAATATACAAGGTGTTTCAAATAAAATAAGGAAAACCTCAAACGTTGATGTCTTATTAAAAATAGTTTGAGAATGTCAAATAATGCAATATTAACAACGGTCAACAGTGGCAGCAGGCCACTAGATTTAAAGTAGAACATTATTATTTTTTCTTTATATACCAATATCTTCCTAAACTTTAACTTTGACCCAACATCTATACAGGGTGAGTCTTAAATAAGTGCAAATATTTTTCTTCTCTTCTTATCGCGCCCTCTCCTGCTGAAGGTTGGCGATCCAAATGGCAATTGTGGCTCTCGAAAATGCAGCCCGGAAGATTTCCACAGACGAGCGTTCAAACCATCTCCTCAAATCTTTTAGCCATGAGTTCTGGCGTCTTCTTACTGATCTTTTCCCTTGCCCTTTGCCCTCTATTATGAGGCGCAGTATTTCGTATCTACCACCTCTCATCACATGACCCAGGTATTGCATTTCTCTTTCCTTGATGGTGTTCAGTATCTCTTTTTGTTTCTGCATACGCTGGAGTACTTCATTGTTGGTGATCCTTTGTACCCATGAGATTCGCAGCATCCGTCTGTATATATACATTTCGAAGGCTTCTATTCTCTTCTCGGTCTGTGAATCCAGTGTCCAGCTCTCACATCCATAGAGTAACACAGAGAAGACGTAGCATCTGGCCATTCGAGTTCTGAGATCCGCACTGAGGTCTCAAATATTTTTAGGGGTGGCATATTTCGCGACCTCAGAATTATATTTATTAAATTTTTTTTTGCCATTTTTTTTCCCAAAAATTTGGATTTTTTTTCAAAAATTTTGGTAATTTTTCTAATTTTTAGTTAAAAAACATACTACCTTGATACCAAAAATGAAAACCAAGAAAAGATCCAGTGGTTGTCAAAATTTAAGCCAAAAAATCTTTTTTTTTAGTTTTCGAAGTAAAATATCTCGGATATTTTGGACTTTTGAAAAATGGTACAGAGAAAATATGTTTCTTTTATCGAGATCTACCAGCCCTGTACCAAAATATTTGCACTTATTTAAGACTCCACCCTGTATAATACCACCCTTTATTTTTACAACGAGTCACCCATTAAAGTGTTTCGCATTTGTTTTGAAATACCCTGTAGTATAGCATTTATTTATAATGTTTTAAGTTCTTATATGAATTTAATATTTTAAATCGATTACATTAAATGAATAAAACTGTATCTATTTATTTACATATATCTACTCTATCTACACTTTTATCTGTAAAATACCACACTTTCTTAAGAAAATACCGTATGATCGAAAAAACGGCGTTCAGTTGGCTTGGAAATATCGATGATATTCTCCATATAATTTTACATATTACAAGAAGACAGCGATCTTCATTTCATAGCCATCGCTGACGCCGTTTTTTTTTCGATCAAATTGGATTAAGGAATCCCTAATACTATATTTGTGATACAATTATCTAGAACAATTAACAATAGTACTAAATATCTTTTAAATACATTCTAATAACTTACATGTATATGTTTTTAAAACGTTTTATATCTCATTGTACTAGACACAGTGACTAGCAATTTAATACTGTAGCTTTTCTGCTGATATTATAGTAATTTGAGGTACTGTTTTTTTCTCTCCTCTGTTCTCGGTTAAGAATAATTGCACATTATTTGGCCAGAGAGCGCCAAGGTCGCGCATTATTTAAAACAGAAAACTTGTTTGTTCGTCCGTAAATTGAACTTGCAAATTAGTCCGAATTTAAATTAATAGGACAAGGGTTATCACTTAACTGTTTATTTTTGTTAATTTTTGTCTGATTACAATCTCCTTTAATGAGCAATTATATAATGTATTAATAAAAATTGTTTTTATCGGTAAGTTATTTATGCAAAATATTTATTATTATGATATACAGTAATGTAATCTATACCGGGTGTTTTTTGCAAAAGTGGCTTGTCCCTATAACTTTTTTATTTTTTCTGATAAAAAAACAAATTTCGTATGTTAGTATACCGGGTGCGTCTGAAAAGAAGTGCGTCTCAAAGTCTCTGATAAAATTTAATATAAGTTTATTACTAATTCATATGTATATATTAGTAACGTATGTATATCGGTTCTTTGCTTTTTTTCTTCTTAGTTCATTTTTCTTTACTTCTTAGCCACTGTACCCTATAAATCTGGCAATGTAGGTACTCAACATTTAAAAATATACAACAAATTCTATCCTTATCAATAACGATAGAATAACAAGACTGATGTTAACAAGGCTCAAGCCTCTTTCATCCTCATCCTCATCCTCTTTCGTTAAATTCTTTGAAATCCCCGATAAGCAGGATATTTACAGTTAAAATTCAAGGTGAGGAAGACAGCGTTGCTCTAATTATCTACCTTTCGGTCGCTGATAAAAATAAGTCAGACAGACAGTTTTGAGACACGTTTATTTATCGAAGATTATCCACAACTTCTTCAAGGGAAACACGGTAAACTTTAAACATCCATCTATATTTAGCCGTTCGACGGATGATTTGGTATAGCCGTTCACTTTTTTATTGTTGTTGCAAAGGCCTTTTGTTTTACATCTCGGTTTATATGGCATGGGGATGTATAACCAGAAGTATACACATTATTTTTGTATTTTTTTTAGAACTATGAGATTTGGCAAGTCTTATACTGCAAGTTCATATAAGGAAAAATCTGAAAACTATACATTTCTTTGAAAACTTTTTATATAAAAAAATTAACCAAAAAAAATACACTGCACATAAAATTTACTTCTACTGACATTAATGGGTAATTATTCTTCTTCTCTTTTTATTGTTGTGTTAGGAAATCTGGATCAGAGTTCATTAGCTGCTATAAAAGTTAATTAACAACTGGGAAAACTAAAAAAAAAGATCCACTAGACAACGATAGTAAAATATATTTCAAATGAAATCTCCCACGAAGTAATGTTCAGATACGGTTTAAAATGCAATTTTTGAATTCCATCAATTCTTAACCTAAAAAAAGTTTAATAAATTTTATTTCAACAGACGTAAATGATCCATTATTCCTCCTAATTTGTTCCTTTCTTATGTTCAGATAATCTGACTATTTAATTTATGACTCTACGGCTCTAATAAGAATTTCCAAAAACTGGGAAACGTAGATAAAAAAACAGCCAGTTTTGTCTACTTAATCAATAACAAGCTTTATTTTATTCTACGATTTTCTTAAACTGAAAAAGCCGTTCATAAATTTTATTAGAACTGACGTTAATGAGCAATTATTATTCTTCCTAATTTTCCCATTTTTCGTTCTCAGACAATCTAGATAATTAATTAGATGTAGTTAGAGTCGTTAAGCACTGGAAAAACTAAGAAACATCTATAAGGCAGCCACAGCGAAACATTTTTCAAATAAACTGCGTTGCGAAGTAATGTTCATTCAAGGTTTCTACATTTTTAAAATATATTTTCTTCATTTTTAAAAATTAATAAATTTTGCCTACATTTCAATCAATTAAACTTTTAGATACGTAATCGAAGGCGCGATTTTTAAATTCAGTGTTGATAACGATAGAGATATTCGCGCCGGGCTGACTAACTGGAATTTACATTTCGTTCTGGGGATTCAGGTGGTAGCTCTGCTGTGAAAAATGTCAAATTGCCGCATTTATTTATTTATTTCCTGACATTGTTGTTCGTTTTGACACTTTAGTTTTGTATTACGAGTTTTTGGTTTAAATAAATAGTGTTCTGATACTTCAACCTTAAAAATGTTTACGAGCAGACCTTGCAGTGGAACGTTGTTCTTTTTAGAACCTCTTTTAGTGCGAAGTGTACAATATAGCTTAATAACCGTAAAAAAGGGGTCATGCAGACGCGTCCCCGTCGCGATCCTGGGTACTGGCTAAAACCTGTAGCTGATTCTGCAACCACCAACTCAGCATCTATCTATCTAGCTAGGAAGTAAAATGTCAAGCAAGAGAGATACCAACCGGTCCTCATCAAGACCAGCACTGACCATCATTTCCTTAAATGTGGAAGGACTATCTGGCGGAGATGTGCAGGAGGTTGAGTGCCACGCACTATGCCTACAAGAAACACACAGAGGCCCTACGGACCCTAGACCTCACATATCGGGTATGACCCTGATAACCGAACGACCACACGAGCAATATGGCAGAGCAGTTTTCATCAGGAAATATATGGCGTTGGGAAGTTCGTTTAAGTCAGTAGCCAATAACATCGAGACACTTACTGTCGTTTTCGAAAATCTCGCAGTCACATCCCTGTATAAACCTCCGGCATCACCTTTTAGTATCCCAGAATTTGGTGCCCATGATACCTTCCGACCCAAATCAAGGGTTATTATTGGAAACTTTAACAGCCTCAGTGTGTTGTGGGGCTACGGAGAGAAAAATACAGACGGGGAG